AGAATAAATAAAAAACTCTTTTTTAAATAAAATCAGAAAACTTTTCTTAAAAATATTAAAAAATAAAACTTTTTTTAAAGAGTAAAACATTTTTTAAATTAAATCTTTTTTGCAAGCTAATATTAAATTTTTTAAGATTTTTTAAATAAAACAATAATAAAAATCTCAAATTTGCATCTTTTTCTTCATTGTCTCGTAATTCATTTGATTGCCGCCTAACTCTGCCCACTAACGTCGTTTGTTCATTTTGCAGCTCATTACGTTTACCATTACTTATTTCATCTTATTTTTCACTCAGAGTTCATTATCATATTGTATATGTTTCTCGGTTGTAACCCCGCGAATCTAATAATCGCGCTTTATTTTCTGCCGTTGTATGGATATTTTATTTTCTCGCGTATTTACCGTTAATTGCACTCCTCCGAAGGAATTAGGTCTAGCCGTTTGACCGCCGTGTCAATAGTCCTCACCTTCAACCCTTACACCTCTTACAAACCCTAAATTTTCACAAATGCCTCGCCGCAGGCAAGATTACAATTTTACCCCTAGCATTAGGTCAAAGAGCCGCCGCGCTCATTTTAGGGTTTCCCGCCGTGGAATCCCTAATTTAACCCTAATTACAACTTAACATTTCAACGTAGAGATTTGGAGTTTCTACACTCCGCGTAAGCGTGTCCTTAAGACATGTTTATTCCCCTTGAGACCTTGACCACAGTCAAGAAGTCTCTAACCTCCCTTTCGAGGGGAACTACGATTACTCTGATTCCACTCCCGTAAGGATACGTAGGCACAAGATGCAATGTCTTGCCGAGTAAACTTAGAACTAACCCCTTAGGTCTCTTTTCTCACTTGTAATCCCTTTGTACATATACTTTAAGCAAATGAATAAAGCAAAATAGTAAACATCTGAACAAAAGGTTCCTGTAGAGTACTACAGAAGTTTAGGGTGCTAATACCTTCCCTAAATTTAACCAACCCCCGAACCCTAGATCTTTCCCCGCATTGTGTTTACGATGCAAAATAGGTTTTCCCTTTTTGACCTTTTCCTTCGGATAAATCAAAGAGCGGTTGTGAATTGAATTGCGATTCAAACTCATTAATAGTTTGTGATCCTATTTCCACCGCAACAGAAAATGGCGACTTCACTGGGGAGTCCTAAACTTTTGAGGGTTATCCCTAACTTGTTCATATTTATTACTATCTGCTTTACTATTCATTTGCATGTATATATTTGTGCTCTGATTTGGGACTGTTCCTTGTATTGTGAGATAAGTCCTACGCCCGGACTAGTGACACTATTATAGGATGGGGATATATTCGATGAGGCTCATAGGGAGTTGAATCCCGACCAAGCTGATTCGAGAATCACCGCTCAGTTGAGACCTTTTCGAAAATGGTTCGGTTGAACGAGTAATCGTGAAAACTTTTTCCATGGTCGATTGGAGTCTGTGATATTGGGAACCGTAGTACCTTTACACCACCTCGGCCTTATTTAGGACGTAGTGCGGGAACTATGTGGGAGTAGTCCTACAATGGTTGCTACGCGATACTACACTCAAAAGAGGTTCTCTTGAGAATATTATTAACCCCCGAGTCAATCGGAAGGTTGATAATATCCGAAAGATGGGCTGATGACTTTGGGCACTTTTTAGAACCTTGTTCGGCAGGTACAACCAACCTATAGTACACTCCTTTTGGGATGGGTAGACCTTAACTCCGCTCACATACCTCTAACCTAGGACTTTGTGTATTTTCATGCATTGCATCCATAAAGCATCCCATTGCATTGGATTTCATGGAATTCAAACCTCATCTATGGATATCGCGGGATACCACAAATAAAGAAAAATAAAAATAAAAAAAATAAGGAAAAGATTCCCTTGGTACCCCACGACATTCGTAAATGTTTGAATTCCATGAAATCTTCATTTGCATTTGCATCATAGCATCATATGTTTTCTTGCATTGCATGTGTCTTCCGTTTTCTCATACTCGGTTCTCTCTCCTTCCAGTTTTGTCAACCAATTAAACGTTACGGGAGTTTTTTTAACTAGGGAGCATTGAACATCGTGTGACTTCTTTTTTAGAGCAACTCATTTGTGAAAGACACGTCACATATTCACCCAACACCTTAAGGTGATAGGTGTTTGTGAATTCTCCCACTTATAAATGCTCAAGTCACCACATTCCTATTTAATGTGGGACTATTATCCACACTACTCACACTTGTTATACCTAACACTCTTCCTCAAGTGTGAGTTTATCCACATTGTACCGCTGTTGACACTCTTGAACGGGACACTCAACTCACCACCTATGGAAATACTTTCGACACAAGTGAGACGGTCATTTATTCGAACCAGGCTCCAATACCGTTAGGGGAGTTTTTCACTAGGAAACATTGTTACTTTGTGAGGCACATATTCATCCAAAACCTTAAGGTTTTGGGTGAACGCCTCTCTCACTTGTGTTGCTCTTGACCTAATATTCAATGTTCTCTAGTGTAATTAACATTAAATTCATTAAAAATATGTTAAATTTATGTTAAGATGTTGTATACTTTATATTAACTTTATGCTATGATAAGATTATGTTGAAATTAGTTATGTTATGTCATACTAATAAAAAAAAATTATAATTAAGCGAAAGGCTTAACTGATTTGTTAAAAATATGGTGCCACCCTCATCCATACAGGTTACTTCAAAACGTCAAGAGCAATCAAAACTTGTCCTAGATTTTTTTAATTTTCTAAAAGAAAATAATTTTTATCAAATTTTACTTATACTTATAAGGTGTTTATTGGTTTGGACAAATTTGAACTGAATCGGAATTCAAACCAAACTATATTTAGATTGGACATTTAATTAATTTGAACAAAAATCAAATCAAATCAATAAAATTCAATGTTAATTGATTCGAACAACGAATTTCTAAAATTCTACCTGCGAGTCTGTCCATCCGAACCAACCATAACTAATTCATATACTTTATATTATCATTATGATGGAGACTAGTATAAAATACTCAATTTCAACAATAAAAAATAAAACACCATTTGTTACATTCACAATCAATATGGATAAATAAAAAAAAGACAAAATACTCTTTTTTTGTCCCGTATATTTATCTTAGAGTTCATTGTGATACCTTAAGTTTAAAAAAGTTCATATTGATCTCTTAATTCTTCAAAATATTTCATATTAATCATTTTTGTTCTATTACCAACGGAAAAATTCAAAAATTCGTCGTTAATTAAACAGAAAGGACTAATTTAAAACGTTTTGAATAATTAATGGAACAATATAAATCCTCTAAAAGTTAAGAGATTAAAATAAACTGAGCTTAAGATAAGAGTATTAAACCAATAAAAAAAATATATAAATTTTATATTATTATGAAAATTTGATGGAAAATAGAGATTTTATTTTCAAATATTTTAGCATATTTATTTTTAATATATACTATCAATCAAATGCAAATATTTTTAATATATACTATCAATCAAACGCAAACCAACTCGTTATTTTTCGATTTTGATTGATTTGAGTTTTATTGAAAAATTTGCAAAGTCAATCCAAAATAATTCATATATTTTTTATCAATTAGTTAGAGTATCAAATTCTCTCAAACGTAAACACTCCTATATACCTATAGATAAAATTTGATATTGGACACTTGTACGAGATTATTTTAAATTTTAAAACAAAACATTTCTGTCAAATTTTACCTATACCTATAAGTAAAATTCAATATTGGACAACTAAATCAACCTTATTTTACCCAAATTAAACACCTGGAATAACCTGACAACCTATCTTATCCAATCCATTTACACACAAAAATGGATCACTCAATTTCAATCGGATAGTTTAAATTTATCCTAATATAATGTTATGTTTCCAAATTTGGATCTGCTCCATTTAGTGTATCATTTATTTGCATAAAAACTCGACATAATGGTCAAAGTATAATTTAATGGCTTGGATTTAAAACATAAACAACATCTTTAATTAAAAATTAAAAGATAAACACGATTAACCATCTTTTCTCTCTTGCCGCAGAGTCGTGAAATCAATCTTTTCTCTGTCCTCAGTCCTAATGTCATTGCCATAAGCAAAGCACATCCTAGATGCGCCACCCCACTGCCATTGCCCCTCAACACAACACTCTGTACCACACTAAACATAAATCTGCCTTAGTGTCACTATTAACCACACCACTGCCCTTGCACCTAAGTGCTCTGCACTTCACTAAACATAGATCTTTGAATTCCATTGTGTAGAGCAAAGCAAAGACACATTTCAATGAGCCATGTTAATTGAGATTGCTCTTGGTAACAAAGAGCAATCTCAGTTATCAAGACGAGATGAAGCAAGTCTATGATGCCGATAGCAGCAGCAAGAAAAAAATCAATCTTTGAATCCCATTATGTAGAGGAAAACAAAAACACATTTCAATCTCATTCATTATCTTAGGACAAAGATGAAGCAAAGATGAGGTGTCCGAAAACACATTTCAATCTCATTCATTATCTTAAGACAACGATGAAGCAAGATGGGGTGTCCGACAACTGCGGTGGCGAGAAGAAAAGTGAAAGAGAGCCAATGAAGAAAAGTGAAAGAGCTCAAAGATCGCGAGAAGAAAAGTGAAAGAGAGCCAATGAAGAAAAGTGAAAGAGCTCAAAGATCGCGAGAAGAAAAGTGAAAGAGAGCCAATGAAGAAAATTGAAAGAGCTCAAAGATCGCTTAGATATTTTAAACTGAACTGTTAATCTGCTAAGGAACAATAACTTGTAATCCGTTATTATCAATAATGTCCATCGTGAGAATTATAATATAAAAAATAAACTTAAATGTAGGAAAATATAATCTTGCGACAAAATGCAACAATAAAAAATGTCAAATTAAGATAATAGTAGCTAAAACCGAAATTTAAGGCATACATCAAAACTTCTGTCTGAGCAACACCGATTAAGTTTACTTCAGCTTTTGTTCACAAATCAAGGTGCAATTACAATTCGTCCAGCAACTTGGTCGAGATCCCGTCGGCCACTAGATGTAATTTTCCTGCCACTGAAATATAAAGATGTATTTAAAGATAAATCCTCCAAATGTGTGATACAAAGACAAAGATAGTAATATTACCAAGCAGAATAGAAAATACAATAATCTAAGATTAGGATCAATAATTTTACATGCATAGTAATACCAAAATTGAGAGTAATCATTCACACTATTCGGCCTTGAAGCCATCACAATCTTTTACTGAGATTATGTTTGCATTTTTTTAGATCTTATTATTGATAATACTAAGCAAAGGAAGTTTGCCAATAATTAACAAACAAATTGAACTGTATTTCTGACTGAAAAAGCCAAGTAAGGGAAAAAGAGTATACCCCTTGCTATCCATCTCAATGAGGTTCATGTTCTGCAACTGCTGAAGAATGTTACGGGCAATAGAGCCGCTGCTCTTGCAAAAATGGGGAGGGCGACTTCCATTCCTCTGGCTCCCACCATAAATCCTCTGGAATGCACCAACACCAAGACCACCTCTCAAATAGATCTTCCTTGCCATAGAAGCTAAAACCAATATCAAATTAAAGAATTGTATCATAATAAATTTCACCAGCTATAGAGTATCCGTGAAACATCCTAGGAATGTAAACTTGTGAGAGAAATAAATCTCACCAGCTCTGATGTAATACCAATCGGGATCATAGGGAGCCAATTCTTTGAATTTGGCAGTTTTCACAATATCAGTCCACTCAGGAAGCTCCATCTATTTGACACCACGAGAATAAATTTCAAATTAAAATAGCAACTCGCAAAAAATCCAATCATGAACTTGATAAATCAAATAACTGAACTAAATAAGCGATGAAAACCATCTATTTCCCAACAATTCAGCGTAAAACCAATCCAATTCCCAAAAAACACAACAATTGCATGTTCAAATAACCTTATTAAAGAAAACCACTTGCATATATTTTTAAACAGAGCAGCCTCAATTTTCGGAGACCCGGTGTAGGCTAGCCACAGTTTAACCATGGCACAACATATAGAGACCCTATTAACTTCAAAAAATTTATGGCCATGTGCGGTAACCCGCCTTGCACACCCTAAAAAATGACCCTCTTTTTAAAGTCAGTGACAGATCCACATAAGGCATACATATAGCTAGTATACAACATTTCTATTTAACCAATGGCATGTTTGGTTCATATTTCTATTTAAAAGCTCTGCTAGGATAATACAACAAAAAAAACTGATTATTTCCTTGAAATATGCTAATTCAAACAGACATTAAGCCTTGAAGATAGAAACCAGAAACCTTAACATCAAACACAATTTGATTCAATAATTGATTTAATTTTTTGAAGTTGTAACATACACATGACTCAAACTAGTTAGTAACGAAATCATAAAAACCCTAAAACCCCAAGAAAAGCAAAGAGCTACAGAACACAGCAATAAAGAGTTCATGAAAAAATCAATAGCATAACAAATTAACAAGCCTTTTCGAATAAATGTCAAATTTTTCCAAAATCTCAAACAGAAAAAGATCAAAAAACCAAAATCAAACCTTGCCAGATCGTTTGAGGTGAGCGGAATAAGCCTTGACGAATTCGTGAGGCGAAACGTCCTTCACTGTCCTAGAAGAAGCCATTGCTAATGGTGATTATTGTTTGGTAATCTCAAAAGCTTTAGCCGCTATAGAGAGTGAAGAACGAACACAAAGTTACTACTAGGGTTTCAGTTTCATATGCTATTACATCGTAGTTCATATTATTAAATAAATAATTAATAATGATAATTATTATGGGCTTTTTTGAAATAATATGGCCCAAGAAAATGGGTATTGACTCACACCCCCACACATATATCACACACCAGATAATAAATCATTAAACTATAAATTTTTTAGAAAATTGATGATGCATTGACATTGTAAATTATTTTTAAATTGATAACCAATAATGATCATGTATTCCATCACGTCATATTTATATTTTAAAAGAAATTAATTTGTATATATTGTTACTATAAAATTATTTTATACTCTCATCCAATTAAAATTAATCATTTTGACATATAATTATAAAATTAAAAAAATATTAAAAAAATAAATTATAATCAAATCATTTTAATAACTATTTCTTCCATGTTTCTCTCTTCTCATGTGTCAAAGTAATTTATTTTAATTGGATGACCGTGTAAAATGGTTTTAAAATAAAAGTGTATTCTAATTAATCTCATTTTAAAATTCTTTTAATGACATGATAGATTGTTGGTTTTCTATTAGATGAGGCATATCCATTAAACTCTAATTTTTTATCATTCTAATTTTTATTACTTTTTTACAAAAATTATTTTTTTATTTGCAAAAATAAAATGTGTGAAATATGCGAGCTGTTTACAATCATGTGATTTAAATTGAGAAATATTTTTCTGCACCTTCCAGACAAATATGAGTTTTTAAAATGTAATTTTTTTTATATTTTCTCTTTTTAAATGTCTGAAATGTAAAATAGATTTTTTATTTTTCAAAAAAAAAGTGAAATACAAGAAACTCTTTGTATTTATTTTTCTTTTTAAATGCCTGAATTGTAAATTAGTTGTCATCAATGAAAGGTTTGTGGATTTTGATGAGTTACTTGAGTTAGGTTTTAACTTCTGGAAGACTGTGTCTGAACAAAGTTGAAATGGGTACTTTGAGATGCTTTGTGGTTTCACTTATCAAGATCTTGTCAGAGAGTTTTAGATTAATGCCTCTATTGTTGAGTCGAATTCTGAGTGTGTTATTCTTTCTAAAGTAACTGGTGTTTCTATAACAGTAACCTCTAAAGCGATTGCTAATGTGATCAATTCTGAGGAGATTGGGGAATCTCAGGAACTCGTGTTTGGAAACACTCTCTTCCTACTTGACGTATCTTTGTAGATCCATCTAAAACATCAGTGGTCTCAAATCTTCGTCCTGATGCAGTTATTTAGAATCAAATTTTGAATTCAAACTTGTTGCCTAAAGATAAGGATTTAGACTAGTAGACCCTATTGAAAATAACATGTTTTTACTTCTCAATTCAAACTTGTAGATTGATCTTCCTCAAGTTATGTTTGAGTATTTAAAGAGGAATTTTTCTTCCATTCACAAGGAAAATATTTTCTTTATTCCTTTTGGACGCGTAATTTCAGAATTACTTGTTCAGTATGGGGTTATCATAAGTTCAGAGGGTGATTCATCTAAAATCATGAGAGACAAGTTTGAAGTTATCTATGAATGATTTTGATGTTAGATTTCTGTATAGTTATACCTTGTAATTGTTAGAACCTTTATATTAAGCAATCTTATTGATAACTTGTGTTTGTTCATGCTATTATGCAGTTTAAACTATTATTTATATATTTATTATTGTTCTAAAGAATTAAAAGTAATGAGAGTAAGAACTCAATGTGTGCAACATTTATCATTAATAAAATAGAAGATATTACAAATTATTTAGACATTCTAGTCTGTTGGATTGGCCCTAAGGTATTCCTTAGGATCATCTAACATGTCCATATTATCTAAGTAATCTTACCATTCTTCCTTGGAAAACTCTACAACCTCCTTTCTTAGTTGATTTTTGCATCTAGACCCAGAAGATCTTCTTCTTCTGTGTGTCTTCACAAAGGATGCTGAAGAGGTTAGCGCTTCTGAAGTCATCTGCTCGCTAGTAGATCCTTCAATTGTTATTTTGCTTTCATTTGCCTAAGTTGTTGAATTTAGTATGACTGTCTTTCTGAAATCTCTCTTTGGAACCGAGATATATTTTTGTTTATACATCTTGGTGTTCTGAGAATTAAGTGATTATGAAAGTAAGTATGTTATGAGTCTTTATATAGACGTGTTACATACATTGTTCCAAGTGTCTATTATTTTAATAATAATTAAGTCGAATCAAATATCTTAAATGATAAATCTTGGAAATGTCTGACATGTTAAAGATTCTTTAACAAATATGAATATTATAGTTAACATGTTTAATAGTTACTTCTGGTTTCAGTTTAACTTCATTTATGTTTATCAGAAAATCAAAAGGGAAATCATTGAGAGTATTTGCATGTAATAAATAAATTGGTTAAAAAGTACTATTTCATTGATTGAAGTAGAGGGATTACAAAATATTTTTCATAGGGAACTGTAGGATCTTATAATAGATCTCTATCTAAGTCATCATGAGCCTTATGATAATAACAATTGTCATAATCTATATACAGTTCATCTTCATTAGCTTCTCCCTTTTCTACCTCTGGGATTAAACGTAGAAACATCTTGTTAAATCGTCTTCTTCTCTTTGACCTCTTCATACTCTTCCTTCTTGGCTTCATAGCATCTTCTAATGGACCCACCCATGTAGGTTATTTTGGAACTGTTGACATAGCCTCTTCAGAAGTGAGCTTTGCAGAGGGCACTGGCCCATTTGTGGATGACTCAGAAACAACTCGCTTTTGTAGATTCTGGATATGTTGTCTTGTAGAGCTCTCAGAGATTTCTATCATGACAGAAGTCTTATGACTCTCAGCTGATGACTTCATGACTCTGGTGGATGTTGATAAAAATGAACTAGGTTTTGTTGCTGATTTAAATCCTTACTTGATTCTTGGAACAATAACGACCACTAAAAATTTTAAGCATGCACTATGCAATGCTTAATGACCCTTATTACTTGATCGTTTTTCAATTTCTTGGAAACTGATCAAGTAATGATGGCATGTGATGCATTTATAACTGTAACTCTTTTTCTTTCTCTATTTTTTTTTCTTTTTGTTGGAACAAAAGGGGGAGAAATGATGGTAAGTATTTAATTAGAAATTAAACTCATTTAGTGCCTATTCAGTTGTACATATTGGTCATTTATAATTTATTATTTAAATTTTTGTTATTATGGTTATCTTGTCTGCGTGACACATTTTAACTTTCTTGTACATAAAAATAAGGAGGAGCTTACAAACCTCAACCATAGCCTATCAGACTTAGAAGGAGCTTATTAACCTCGTATTCTGATGTTGCCAATAAAAGTTAAAATATATTTTTTTGGTTTTCTTTAATATGGAACCAAGAGGGAGCTTACAAACCTCAATCTTGGAACTGTTTGACTCAAGGAGAGCTTACAAACCTCAGACTCTGATGTAACTAAGAAAACTGAATTACTTTTTCTTGAAATTAGTACTATGTATGGGTTTACAGAACTCAACTTTGGACTATTAGACTTAGGGGGAGCTTACAAACCTCATACCCTAATGTTGCAGAGAAAATTATAACTGCACAATATTGTCCTTTAAATACTTATGTTTGCCATCGTCAAAAAAGGGAGATTGTTAGAATAAGATTTGTTCATGACATATTTTTCTTGGGTTTTGATGTAACAAAGTATTAAAAAACAATGATTCATTTGATGTGTGTTACATGTGTGCAGGTTCTAATACTTGTAAATATTATAGTCAGAATCTGTTTTATATTAGCACACATGGGAGTTGCTTAGTTTCTAACTTTTGGTGGCAGAATCTGAAGAACATTTGTTAAGTGATGTCTGTCGTAGACTCTAAAGTTGAAGGTCTCAGTATTAGAAGATGTAACATAATTGCCTCTACACTTAGTGAACGCAAATTGCCTTTTGGTACCATTCAGAGTTGGTGATAAAGTTGAAGTTGTATGTACTGCAAAAAACAAGTTGTATTGTCAAATCAATTTGCCAGCTAGAGTCTATAGATTGTAAGGCTTACGAAAGGCTGGAATGCTCTATGGATATCTAGTCTCAACGACTCTAATAGTACAACATCTTTTGAAGACTCAAAGGTTAAACATGTTTGTTGCTGTGAGAATCAGATATTAAGCTATTAATTAACTTAAATCACAAATCTATGGAATTTACCATCGAACTTTGATTTATTCAAAGAAAATGGTAAAGATCGAAAGAAAACCCTAAGTGCGTTGTGTAACAACAAAGCAAAGAGAATCTAAGGTTCAGGGGTTGGTTATACCTAGGGAAGGTGCTAGCATCTTAAGTATCTGTATTACTCTACAGGAAACTCTTATTAGTATTTGTGTTATGCTAAAGTTTGCTTGCTAAGGGAAAGTGCTAAGGTAAAGACCTAGGGTATATACAAAGTATGCTCTCCAATACATTGTATCTCATGCCTACATATCCTAACTAGGATAGAATCAGAGCATTTGTAGTTCACCTAACTAGGGGTGAGGAACTCTTGATTGTGGTCAAGGTTCCCAAGGGAAGTAAGTACTCATGACCATGATACTTACATAGAGTTAACAAATCTCTAAATCTAAGTTGAAAAAACTAACTAAAAGTTGACTTTAGCAAAGTCAAAAGGGAAAAGTGAGTCCTCATGACAATGGTACTCACATAGAGTTTAAAAACTCTAAACTTAGTTCTAAGTTGCAAAGAAGAAATGATTCTAACAAGGCCAAAGGGAGAATGATGCTAACAAGGTCATGAAGTGAGCAGGAAGGCAACTGAACTATCCTAAAGATATGACTTGTAAGTCAACAAGGAGACCCTCAACAAGGGACAACAACTTATAACAACAAGTGGTTAAAGGATAAACCTTGAAGTAAGGATGATGACAATCAAGTATGAAAATGGCATTATAAACAAGCACGTGCTAAAT